TTCTCCTAGTCCCACCCTCCCTTTTTCCTCCCCTCCCATTCCCTTCCCCTAGTCCATTGAAAGGGGGAATTCTCCTCTGCCATCTGCCCATAGCTTATCATTCTCATCAGGACTGCCTGGGTCCTCTTCCTCTGTGTCTCATTAAGGCCACATCGACAGGAGCAAGTGATCAAAGAGAGCAGTTCGTGACAGAAGCTCAATCTCTGCATGACCCCCTGGGCTCAGATCCTTTAGCTTTGTTGGTTTCCTTGTGGGGCTCCTGTCTCCTACACATCCTTTCCCTTTTCCATAAGACTCCCTGAACTCTGCCCAAAGTTTGGCTGTGAGTCTCAGTATCTGTTTCAATCCCCTGTTGGGTGGGGCCTTTCAGAGGGCCCTCTGTACCAGGCTCCCATCCTGTTCACTCTCTTCCACTCCCATTATCACTCACATAGAAAACACTAAGCAAACTAGAATTACAAGATAGTATAGCAGGCACGAGAGATGGGGAAGAGAAGCAGGAGTTGAAAGAATTCAGAGGGACTTGAGTGACTTAGGGTGGTGATGGGTGGAAGAGATTCATGAGCAGAGACATGGTCAATGTACATTTATACATACATGAAAATACCAGTGTGAACTCCATTACTTTGTACAATTAATATATAGCAAGACTGTAAATAAAAAAAAAAAAGGAATGGAAAGAGGGAGGAAGCAGAGAAGAAAAGGAAAGTTCTTCTAGTTCTGCCTTTGGGTTGATATGGTTCTTATCTTGTTTTTCTGCTCTTGTGCCTTCTTCAGTTTGAAACAGTTTTTAATCCTTCCCATGTCTTCTTCCTTGCTATGAGGGCATTGGTAGTTTTTGATGAAAAGCTCATATTTTTGTTGTTGTTGTTGTTCATTCTCTTGGTTCATGTCACAGCCTTTCCATTTTCTCTACAACATTCTGAGAGAGTGCTCCTGCATTTTCTGTTGTTCTTCAAATCCTCTGCCATGTCTCTGCTGTTGTAAGTTTTGAAAGCAGCTTCCACTGTTTGTGAGATACACGTTCTTAACGTTATTCACTTTCTGTCATTCTCTTTTTGTCTCAGAAGCACGAGGCTGATGAAAGTCATATCTATCTTTTATTTTTCTGGAACCACAGATTGGAATCCCTGTATCCCTGGCATACCCAATGACTTCACCTCAAATCTTCTGAGGGATCTTCCCAATAATTTTACTTAATCTACATTTGAAGATGCTTTAATTCTTCCTCTTTTGGAGTCCTATCAATGGGAATTGCATAATTTTTCAAGGCACAGCAATCTACCACTAATTACACCTCACTTGGCTTCTGCCCTAGGGAATGCTGGCTGCCTGTGGCCTAGCAGGAATGTTGTTGGAACTGATATATGGGGTGTGCATTCCCTCTTTCCTTCTCAAGAACCACTGGGGTTATTTAACTAAGATAATGTTCATGAAAGATTGAATAACAGCCCAAACGAGGTGATGGTTAGGACAGAGCAATTGCCAGCACTGTTTGAGAGATTTGTGGTGACAGGACCATGGTGAATTTGGAACGTAAGTTATTTCGTCATCTTGGTGCTGTTGCCTGCTGGACCAAGACTGCATTTGCAGTGAGCAGGCTCATCATGATAAAGTAACATGAAGGCATCTACATAACGCGCTCCTCCCCATTTGCCTTTGGTCTCATAAAATAATTCTAATTGCTAGAAGGCATAATGATAACTGAGGGTCATTTTCTTCCAGTATACTTCCAAGAACAAACAACATTACAAAGAAAAATCTTTTCCCCCCTTTCCATAGGTCCTAAATTAAAATAGTCCAACCAGTAGCTGAAAGCTGCAATTCAGGAGTAAACTGGAGTTGCTTGAGACAGGGAGATAGACAAAACACACCACACAAAACAACTAATTGTTGCAGAGGAGGGACAAAAGAATAAACCCAGCAGTTCCTCATAGTTCCTCAAAGCAAGAGTCTCTCTTTCAAACTGCCTTGAAGGTTCCTGTGTATGAAACCTAAGGAACCAAATACAAATGGAAAGAAAGGGAATTCTGTGGCTCTAACACAAATGGTTCAAATAGAAAGCACATTGAAGCTTACAGGGGTTTTGTGCCAAAGGTACATTTTTCTCCAGAGAAGAGAAATCTCTCGGACAAACAGCGCTCCTGAAGCTTTCCTCTGCTGTCTGACTTGGTATGAATGTTCCAAACAATCCACCATGATCACAGAACTCCTGGCTGCCTCACTTTATTTTTATACGAAACCCAAATAAGAGTCAGTATAAGCTAAAAATGAAAAGAAATAGAAACTCAGAGAAAGTTCAACCAGGAAAAGCAACAATTGGGAAAAGTGGCTACAGCACCTCAAATCCCCCCTCCAGCCATGACTGTAGATTATATAAGAGGAAAGCTCACAGGGATAAAACTGGTACCCTCATGACTTTTGGCAGAGTCAAGGTTTCCTGAATTCTCAGTACCAGTGGACATCTGGTATACCATTTGCCAACATACAGCTGAAAACCAAGCATATAAGTTACCCATATGATGCTTAGCTTATATATATATATATATATATATATATATATATATTTTATTCACTATGAGGGCCTGGTTATCATGGCACCAGCACTTCATACAATGTTGGGGTTTTTTTGTTTTGTTTTGTTTTTTCCTTGAGCACATTCTGAGCAGAAAGTTACCTTATATTGTTTTCCTGTTCAGAGCCTTGCAAGTGAATGCCTTTGAGCAAGTGTTTGAACTCTTACATCCTCAGCTTGTGTTCAGTTGGCTGGTCACCCACTTCCAACTTGGAGGGCTTCCTGCTATCTTTCCAGTTCACTGGGCTTGCTGTGACCACCTTTGTGCTTGCTCCTTTGTCTTCGTAGCATGCTCTACGGATGGTGTGCTCATTACTTTAGCCAATTATAGACTTAGGTGTTATCTCTTCAGAACGATCTTACTAACAGGCTTATGGAGAAAGGCTCACATCCCACACACTCTCACATGATATGGTTTTTTCTGTTGGATGTCATCTTAAGTACTCATGCATTTTTTTTATCTCCCTCATTAGATGTAAGCTCTACAAGAGCCAGTAGTTTGCTTTGTACTCAGAATAATCTTTGTAGTGAATATTCAATAAACACTGGTTGAATAAATTAACCAATCATGATTGAATTGACTAATCCAGAAGCTATCATACATGTCATAGAACATACTTAGTTAATACAATATTATATAATAAAGTCTTTAAAATTATGAATTAATTGGTACCTTTTGTATGTTATATGATTTCATATAAAAATTCCAATTTTTTACTTCTTTGGAAAACTTAGGAAATTTTTATATTTGGCATTCCTTAATAAATAGCATTTGGTGCTTATTAGCAAAAGTTGTCCCAGATCTCAGCATTCCTTACCTTCCTGACTGGCTCCCCTTTTCTGCTTTGTCAATGTGCCCAGCCTGTAAGTTCCCAAACATTAAGCGCATATGAGGAAAGTCTTCCAACTTTTGTTCCATGTATCTGTGTAAGTTTTCATAACCAATTTAGAAATTGAGTCAGTCTCATGTTCGTTCTTCTAGTCTCAGTCATAAAGAGACACACGTTGTAGGCTGTAATGCCATGGTAGAGACAGAACAAGAAGCTTGAGAAACTCCTAGAGTCTCCATTACCAGGAGAGGGGCAGAAATACCCAACTATGTTTCAGAATATCTCTCACTTTTCTAAGGGTATTTTTTAAGTGTTTTCAAAACCCATAGATTATAAATATTTTTCTTTATTTTCGAAATCTCATGAATATTAGATCTGGATGTCTACCTAAAGTGATTCATTTACCAGTGTGGGACACCCAGTGTCTAAGAAGGAAAATAGCTACTTTTAACAGTAGGTGTTGACACCAGATAAAGAGAAATACTTACCTAGAAAGAGAAAGAAGCATTTCCTATTGCTCAGTACCTATGTATCTCAGCAGCATTAGTGTTTGCCAAGAATCTGCTGTATGTCAGACACCATTCGAAGCAGCTGAGGAACTCACACTCTGTCTTACACTCCAGAGAGTCAGACAGCGACAGCTAAACAAGCAATAAAGTAACTTCTATATGCAGTAAGAGTTAGTAAGAACTATAATAAAAAGGAACAGGAGGGGGTGGGAGGGAACAGGTAGGCCTGGCCGATGACTGGAAGAGCAGTGTGAGCTTGGTAGGTCCTATGGGAAGCAGGTCCACACGGGACGTGAGGGAGGTGAGAGAAGGGGGACGTGCCCATCTGTAGTGAGAAGACTGTGAGGGTAAAGAATGGCATCAACCAAATGCCCTGTAGCCGGCCTATGCCTGGCGTGTCCACGGGGAGCTGAGTTAGTTAAGCAAATTGATTACTGATAAACACAAGACCTTGAATACACATGATGCCCTCCACAGAGTCCTGTCCCAGTGGGTGGTCAACTCTTCTCCACTCAAAACTACTTATCTCTCTGTTTAATAAATGTATGTTTTAATATGGTCATGACCTGAGCATTAAGGCTCTATGAAATATGCAAGCTCTGTTTTCAATAGAAGTGATTCTCAACCTCCCTAATGCTGTGACTCTTTAATACAGTTCCTTATCATTGTGGTGACCCCCAACCATAAAATTATTTTAATTGCTACCTCATAACTATTACTTTGCTACTGTTACAAATCATAATGTAAATATCTGTGCTTTCTGATGGTTTTAGGAGGTCCCCATGAAAAGGTCCTTCAGTCCCTCAAATGGACTGTGACCCACCAGTTGAGAACCACTATTCTAAAGAGGCATTAAGCAAATGGGGCCTTGGCCTTTCCAATGAGACCCTGACTAAGCCACTGTCTACACACAGTGAGTCTCATAAACTGGCTGCACTTGTGTTATCCCTAACCTTTCATCTGTTGGACTCAGGTGCTTGTCAAGGGTAGTTCTTCCTTCGCTCTGTCAATCACCTGTGCTCGGTGATCAGTTCATAGGTGGCCTTGCGCAAAGCTCTGTAATAACTTCACATCTCCTCGCTGCAGCTGCTGGCACAGGACTGGCCATTTGGAGCCGAGATGTGTAAGCTGGTGCCCTTCATACAGAAGGCTTCTGTGGGGATCACCGTGCTGAGTCTATGCGCTCTAAGTATTGACAGGTAAGAGTCTATTCTTAGGCTGAGGAGATTCTAAGCTCCATAGAACTGCCATGTTATTTAGGAGATAAACCATGCAGTTCAATTGAACCAAGCTCTACCTGCTTGAAAAAATAATTCTCTTTCCATTTTTAGATATCGAGCTGTTGCTTCCTGGAGTCGAATTAAAGGAATTGGGGTTCCAAAATGGACAGCAGTAGAAATTGTTTTAATTTGGGTGGTCTCTGTGGTTCTGGCAGTCCCTGAAGCTATAGGTTTTGATATGATTACGACAGACTACAAAGGAAAGTCTCTAAGGATCTGCCTGCTTCATCCCTCTCAGAAAACTGCCTTCATGGAGGTAAGTTTACTTTGCTTTTTCTTTCTGCACTTTCTTTATGAATATTTAACTCTTTTCCCTAGTTCCACTTTGGTAAGCTATTGATTTATTACTACCTTTGGCATGAATTAAGAGTTTAGATCCCAAGACTGTGAGGTTAACCATCACTAATGACCCAACCTGCAAGAAGCAGGATAATTGCTTCTCTACGAACACCTTAGGGATCCAGATAAATCAGGTCCTACAAGAACTGCTGTGACTTTATGGCTTTTGTATCTAATGCCCCACAAGTCTTGATCATTATTGTGTAATATACACAAGACAACCCAACATTGTCAGAAAAACAGATGGATTGACACACATTTAGATAAAAGTTGCCTGGTAGTAGTGGATTGTACGGTAACCTGCCCCTCATCTTTGATGTTAAAAGAGAAGCCCTTTGAAATTACTATCAAATTTGGGCTATTAATTAAAGAACTCTGATCAGAAATGTTAGTCCCTAAAAGACAGATCTGCGTATTTGGCTTTTTTTTTTTTTTCAACAGAATTGGTTAATACAAAGGGGGTTGTTCTAACTATCATTAAAAACTATTTACATTTTACATGTACAAAGATTATATAAATTTTATGAACTATGGATTCAATAATAAGTCAAAGAACAAAGGAGGACATTAATGAAATGTCAAGAATGAGTTTGTTTACTAAAAAGGAATACCACATTGGGGACATAAAATCCTTTCCAACATAGATCTATCTGGATCGATAAGGTTTTTTTCCCCCAAAGGTAAAATCAGGAAAAGTATAAGTTATAAGCACTTTCTTAATTGACCTTACATGTATACTTACACAGCTGACCTAAATGGCTGGTACAGAGCTCTTCATACCCATTTTTTCACACTAAACACACTTAGTAGAAAGGGAAAAACATTGCCTAAACACTTATCCTCAATAATACTCCAAATTTTAAATATTTGGTTATTCAATGTTTTATCTTCACATAAAAATTTTGCTCAGCTGCTTAAGTCTTACTATACTGTCCCAAAGAATTGAAATATGTTCTATAATGTTCCTTTAATTTGATGCAGGCTTTAATTCTATGTTCAGTAGATGTGGCCCAAGAAATTTTACACAGTACATACATGGAAGATGATATGTTACAAAATCATTGTCCTTTGATGGATATATCTCGTTTTTAGTTGGCACTCTATACATAAGGTTTTTTAAGCAAAAGATATCAATCATAAAAATTCTTTCTCCATAGTTTTACAAGACAGCCAAGGATTGGTGGCTGTTCAGTTTCTACTTCTGCTTGCCACTGGCTGTTACTGCAATCTTTTACACCCTGATGACCTGTGAAATGCTGAGAAAGAAGAGTGGCATGCAGATTGCCTTAAATGATCACTTAAAGCAGGTAAGAGAATTTAAGGCTCTAGTAGATCACGGCCATAATTACACTGTGGACATGAAGTTCATAATGATGATGATGTTGACAATAATGATGATGAATGAGCATCAAACAGTAGAACAGATTTTCACTTTCTTCCTTCATTCTGCTATTTTTTTGTAACGAAAAGAACATTTTATATCACTTACCTGTAGTCTATGTATCATCTAAAAGCATCTAAAGAGAACCATTACCGTTTGTTGTTGTTTTAAGATAGCATGTGAGGTAGCTCAGGCTAGCCTTTAATTCACCATGTAGTCAAGGATGACCTTCTGTCTCCCAAATGATGGTATTGCAGACTTGCACAACCTTCTCCATTTGAAACACACACACGTATATATGTATAATGTATATTTCAGACTTACTTTATGTGTATGGATGTTTTGCTTGCATGCGCAGGTGCACAGAGAGGTGGGCGTCAGATCCTCTGGAACTGGAGTGACAGATGGCTGTGAGCCCGAATGGGGGTACCGGGAAGCAAACATATGTCCTTTGCAAAGCAACAAGCGCTCTAAGCTGCAGAGCCATCTTTCCATCCCCCCAAACCCTAGCAATGTAATTTTAATTCACAGCGTCTAATTGTAAGCTCGTGGCCCTGAGTCTTATGTTAGTAAATAGTGTTAAAAATCCTGTCTGAGGAGAATGTGTGCTGTGAATACCAAGGGCTAGCTTCACAAGGGCCTGTGGTTCTGTTTCAGAGACGAGAAGTGGCCAAAACAGTGTTCTGCCTGGTTCTCGTTTTCGCTCTCTGTTGGCTCCCTCTTCACCTGAGCAGGATTCTGAAGCTCACTCTTTACGACGAGGGTGATCCTTACAGATGTGAGCTTTTGAGGTACGAAAGGAAAATACAGTGGGACACAGGTGACATCAAAGGAAACGTGGTGACTGTTGGGGGAAGGGAACCATCAAGCAGCAGGCAGAGGATAAGGTAGGGAGCTGAGGAAGAGCGGTGAAGAAAACAACACGTGACGACACACGTGTGAAACTCATTAATCTGTGCTAGCTTTCTTTAAAAAGAGAAAGACTAGAAAGAATTATGCGGTTGTCATTCAGATGTTCCCCGTCATCAACCCTTCCAACAGGCAGAAAGAATACTATTTTCTTATCCTTAGAGGCCAATTAAGACCCTCAATTTTACCTTCACTTCTGTCTTAGATGGATAAATAAGACAAGCTAAGAAATCCTTGAGAATATTGGCAGAGAGTTGTCAAAATGATGACTGAGTGACAAGATGAGAAGCATCAGAGTCTTCAGTATACACATAAGTTCTTTTTTATTTTTTTTTCCCTGGACGTCTCATTACTTCCAAATGAGAATGTTATTTGTAAAAGGAAAGCTGGATGTGGTAGATGAAGGTAGGAAAGGGCAGTGGCTATGGCAAAGACAGAATGAGAGACAGGCAGGCAGGCAGTGAAACAAAGACAGGCTCCTCTACAGGCAAATCAGTGGATACACACAAATCACTGGATGTGGGTGATCTTGGTTTGGTTCATGAAAACACAATTGTACGTTAAATACATCTTTGAAAGAACATAATTTTACAAACATATTTGCTCTTTTTGCAGCTTTTTGTTGGTTTTGGACTACATTGGCATCAACATGGCATCTTTGAATTCATGCATTAATCCAATCGCTCTGTATTTGGTGAGCAAAAGATTCAAAAACTGCTTTAAGGTAAGAGACTATTCTAAAATAAAAAGTTTCCTGTGATCTGGCATCAAATGTATGTCTTCAGAACCACTAATATTCCTATGGAGAAAGAGGTGGAAAATTGCTAATTTTCCCTGCACTGCAACATACACAATGTTTTTAGTTATCTCTTTTGCATACAAAACACTACAGTAGCTACTTGCTAGTAAATCCCAGCCAGTAGTCACCCCATGCCCTGATGCCTTAGCCACTCACTAATACTATTGGAATTGCTCAGATTAATAAAATTGCATATATCGATAATTGATGTCATGCAGTCAAATAAGAACAAAACTTAGTTAAATGAACTGTTCCTCTGATTATGGTAGATTTTTGATTGTTCATCTACAAATTGTGTTATAAACAAGTTAATCTCCTTTTCTCATGGCTATGCAAATAAAGTCAAGGGTTAGGAGATGGCTGGGGGGTGGGGCAGGGGAGAACACTTGCTCTGCAGGAGGTTCCAAGTTCAAGTCCTCAGAAATGATGAGAAAAGCCAGGCATGCTGTGCTGGGTGAAATGGCACACACCTCCAATCCCAGCGTTTGGGAAGCAGAGGCAGGCAGATCTCTGTGATTTCAAGGCCAGTTTGATTCACATAGATGATCCTGTTTCAAAACAGTAGAGAGATAGAGAGAGAAAGAGAACAGGCATGGTTGCTCACATGCCTGCAACTCTTGTGCTGGGGGTGAGAGGAATAAGAGGATTGCTGGGGATTGGTAGACACTAGCCTAACTCTAGATTCAGTAAGAGATCCTATCTTAAGGGAATAAGATCAGGACACCCAATGGCCTCTTCTGGCACATACATCACACACACACACACATACACACAGAAATAACAAGTATAAAAATTAAAATCATTTCTGCTTCTTTTCCACCTTTTGTGTATAGCAATATCATACTGCTCCATGTAAATTTAATTACACCTTACTCAGATATTGACAATATGGCACCCATCTATCCATTCGTTCATTCTTTCAATAATGCAAGTAAAATATGCCTGCCCTCCCATGAGAATGGGCTGTTGTCCCTGGTATTTCATTATTTGAAAATCAAAATTCATTTCCTTGTAAACACTTTTTAAAAAGTTGAAAATGTCTATGCCCATTTGCAATTCGGACATTAAGGGTGAAAGAGAACTTTTATCAAAATCAGCTCCATCTTTACAGAACAGAAAACCTGCTATTTCCCTGAACATGTAGTTTATCATAACACAAATGAAAAAGTTGCTATTTCCTGGACTGGGCATCTATCATAAAACAAACAGAATGAACAAAGTTTTTAAAAAGTTAAAAAACACCAGTGAAAAGTGAGAAATGTAAACATCAAGACTTTTGCATCCCTTTTAAATTCATTGCACAACAGTATTGAAAGGCATGTGAGCATAACATGTGTATGAAAACATAGCTGGGCAATATTAAACTCATCAACATGGGAAGAAGTGTATGTCAGTGTCAACTGAGAAAGAGCAGGTTCCGGCCACATACACAAGTTGCATAGACATAAACTCAACTGTGTGTGCAGTCATAATACTTGTATTCTCAGGGGGAAATGTTTGGCTTTCACAGATGTCACACCTTAAGATTTTTTTTTTTCAAGTAAATAAGACAAAGTATGGAAAATTAAGAGCGGCTTTTGGGCCAAAGAGATGATTCACTGGGAAAGAGCACTTGCTCTGCCAGGCTGGAGCTATGAGTTCAAACACAAGCACCCATGTAAAAAGCCGGGCTTGCCTGCCTGTGCCTATTCCCCTAACATTACGGGACGGAGACAGATCCCAGAGACAATCTCAGTAGTCAGCTAGGCATATGCAGTGAGCTTCAGGTTCAGTGAGACCTTGTTTCAAGGGAATAAAGGAGAGAGCAATAGAAGGAAACAAGGAAACAACAGACATCCTGCTCTGTGCATGCATCCATATAAACACACACTAAAAAAAAGTGTCTGTGTCTTGGGTAATGCTAATTACATACATTTTTTTTTCTTCTTTATACTTAAAATCAGCATATTCCACTAAAGCTATTTCCCTTTCCAGTTTTAAAATTTTACTTATCATTACTGTGTGAATGCAATGTGTGTGTGAGAATGTCACTTATGTCAGGATGTATAAGTGCTATAGTGTGTATGTGTGCAACTTTTGGGTGTCTGTTCTCTTTCCACCGTGAGTTGTAGTCTTCAAACTCGGGTCATCAAGATTGCAAAGTGCCTTTACCCACAGAGCCATGTTTCTGGCCTTCGTTATGTCATTTGTAGGGGGGAAATGGGAGGGTGCGGAAAGAAAGGAACCGAGAAGCCCACACTGGCGAGGAGAGTCAGAGTGCTAAGGATGGGGAGAGCGGTGGCCTTGTGACTGAGTAAACACACGACCCGTCCTTCTGTTTCATACAGTCATGCTTGTGCTGCTGGTGCCAAACATTCGAGGAGAAACAGTCCTTGGAGGAAAAGCAGTCCTGCTTGAAGTTCAAAGCTAATGATCACGGATATGACAACTTCCACTCCAGCAATAAATACAGCTCATCTTGAAGGAAAGACATTCGCTTAATCTCATTGTCCTTATTTTGGACAGATACAATTAAAACAAAAGGAAACCTTTGCCAAGTCAAAATGCAGAGCTCTGTCTGCAGAAGGGCATGTACTCGTGTAAAAGAGGTTATTTTTAACTGTTGTAACTTTTAACACCTGATATTTCATGAGCTGTTTACAACCTAAGAAAGCAATGAAAATGAATGAGGCCACCCTGGGAAAGCACTTAGATCTCTAATCAGCACTTCAACACAGCTCTTAAAACCTTGCAGTGTGCTCATAAGCCGCTTACATTTAGAAAGGAGTTCACTCAGAACTTCTGTTCCGGGGCTTACCCTCCAATCCTATGAATCTGAGTAAAGGAAAGTGTGACATTGAAAAAAAAAATGCATAGTGTTGCATCCACTAATCTGATTGTGACTGCATGCAAAATGTGAAAGCAATGTGAATGGTATACTTTTTTGGTCATTGAAAACATTTAAATGATCAGAAGGGGAGTAAGAGAAATAAAGATGGAACTCGGATGTTTGAAAATCTTTACATTCAAATAAGGCCAAATGTCACGGGGAGAAAAAAAAAAATGGGAAGGTGAGCTGCTATGACTGAGACCCCTGAACTTCCCACTCACACTCTCTGCAGAACCCCACAAAACGACACAGAACACTATGTGGTTGTTCTATGGCTTTTGTTTTTTCGAGGTTCTTTCAAATATCCTTTGGCGATTGAAGCTTAAATTCCATTTGATTGGCTTCACCGTCTGTAAATACTTAGCTATTAGCTGTAAGCACTACACGTAGATGACTTAACGACGGGCAGGTCCCAGCGATCATAGCTTTATGACCAAGAGATGCCAGGAACCCGGCAGCAGACAGAATGTGAATTGCCTGGTGCAGTGTCCACATGGCGAAGAAGCAGGGAGCGTCCTTTCAACCGTGCTGCTGTGGAAACAGTGCGCAGCACAGCGTGATAGCTAAAATACCATCTTTTCAAGTCATAGAAAGCAGTCACTGTAACCAGCTGTCTTGGAGACATATTGCTAATTTGTACATTAGTTTTGAAAATAGCCAGTAGAAAGGTGTTCTGGACATGGTGCTTTTTCTAGAACTTAGAAGCCAAACTGCTTCTGGTCTGCAAAACCCTTCTCACTCTGCGCATTCTTGTCTAGTTTTTTTTTTTTTTTTTTAATCTCCTTCCACCGCGTGCCTTAGGTTCACTCCGGATGAGCAGTGTGTGAAAAAAAATAATAATGCCCGAGAGAAAACCGAGGAGAGAGGAAATGAGGTGGGGTGGGAGGAAGCCCAGGGGGAAAGATTCCCATTCTTAGCCCGGTGTTCGTCACTGCCGCGTCATATCAGTGCGAAAGGTCCTGGGTCGGCTCCAGCAAAACACAGCGCAGTGTTCTGACTCCCCGAGAGCTTTAACCTTGTCTTAAAATATAACAGAATTTCCTCTTTTTTTTTCTTTATTTCTTTTTTTTCCTTTTAGTAACCCAGGCCACATGATGAAAATGGGCCAAGAATACAATTTTCTGCCAAACCCCACTGTGACAATACAATAAACCCAAATACGACAATGAGGTCAAAGAGAAAGAATAACCAATTGGCATGCCACATGGGCTCTGTTAGGAGTCACCACGGTTCTCGTCCACAAGTTCCTCCTCATCATTTTTTACAAACACTTACCAGATTTTCAATTTTAAATTAGTTCATGCCTCCCCGGTTCTTTCACAGTGTGAATGTATTTGTAATTGTTAAGTTTTAGGTTGTTTTTATTGCTGTGTAGCAAGTTATTGCAGCCTTCCTCAGGGGCAATAGTCATGTTGCCAAATGATGAAATGGCATAAGAATACTATCTGTGTAGTATTTGCAGTAAAATTGCATTTGGTGGCTTTTTGATTCAAAATTTTACAGATAAAGAGTGGTGAAAAACAAACACAATCTCTCTGCATAATTAAAGCCAAAATAAGAAAAGGTACCACCTAATGTAAAGCTTATTTTCTGACATTCAAGCTGTCTAATATAACAAGGCATAACAATAGTGTTAACAAGGATGTTAGAGGCCAAAAGATTGCAAGCGATTTCACCCCATTTTCTCCTGTTATTCACTGCTAACGTTCAAACACTTTTCAGTATGGACAATGTACAACAGCCAAAGGAACACTGTTTTCATCAAAATGTGGGTGTATTCTGTCTAACATACAATTGTAATAAAGCCAGGTTAAAAAAAAAATTGTGTTTTGTTTTGCTCTGGCCACTTAAAAGTGGCAGCTTGTGTAGTTGATTAACTCCTCGTGTAAACAAACTAATAAACAGTCAAACGGCTTAAAAGAGCAGCTTGTCTTTTGCTATTCAAGCATTCATTCATAAATACTACCTAAATGGTTAAAGGAAATGCAGATGCTGTAAATGGACATTATTTAAGTTAAATATAGGGCTATCAGTGAATCAAAGTTTCATTAAAATATCATGATTCTGACATTTGGTATGTCTCTTTACACATATGTAACCACCCCAAACTACCCTGTGTGTTGGTAAGTGCTAGCCAGTCTTCTAAAGAACCAGATCTTAGCATCCCAAACTGCCAGGTGTATCTGCTGAGTGCTACGCAATCTAAAAGACAAGTGGCTTGCTTTCATAAAGACTGTGCCAGATCGCATGTAGATTTATAAACATCGTCACAGCAAGCACAGCTGAAGGCAGGATTTGTTCTTTTTCTGGAGCTGAAGATATAGGAAAACTTGACTCCATAGTGAGTGAGATTTCCAGCCCTCACCCTTTTTGTCAGCCTTGTACACCCTGGGCAAGAGGATGAAGCCTCCATTTGAAGAAAGCAGCTAATCTGCAGATGGAGGATTCTTCAGATACAAACAGGGAGAGGAAGGTAGGTTCTTGCTGAAGGGGATATGTTTGCTCTATATTCTGTGCACATACAGAGAATTTTTAGGGTGACTCTTGGTGCCACATTTTAAAGTATGAATGAGTGTCAGAAGCCCATAGGCACTTTAGAAAACTTTGTAGTGAAAGACAGAGCTGATAACTAACAGAAAAATAAAATGTCAGGAGGCTGAGGAAGCAAAGGAAAAATTCAACACAAGTAGACTTAATTTTCCCAGAGTAATAAGACGAGGGAAGCAAAATCAAGGTGTTTAGTGCTTGGGGATTCAGATACTGCTCTAGGTTAGAAGAGATAAAAGATAAAACTAAAGAACTCCAAAGGTCAAAACTGACAACAAATAGAATATGAAGGAACTCTACCAAACTTTGCTCAGTAAGCTGAGAGCAAGGAAGGAAACCAAGGAAGGAAGGGCAGGAAACAGATGAATCCAACACAGGAAACTCAATGACTAACGTCAGCATGGTGGAGTGGCAAATACTTCAGCTTGTCTAAGAAACAATCAGTCCAGCCGAATCAGAAGAATGGAGAAAGGAGAACTCCAAGAGAGGGAGAGAAAAAAATTAAAAAAACAGGAAGATTGCCTGGTATATTTAATGACGATCATAGGAGTTTATGGCTCTATAATGGCATCTGGAGATAAATGACAGTTCCAAGAAAACACTGATATTAGATGGTTGCAGAGGGCTGGGATATGGTTCAGCAGTTGAAAGCAGTAGTCGTCCTTGCAGAGGACCTAGGTTCAGTTCCCAGTACCCATACGGTGACTCACAACCATCTTGTACTTCCACTTAAGAGGGATCTGACATCCTCTTAGCTTCAGTGGGCAACAGGCATGCATGAGGCACACAGATATACCTGCAGACAAAACATCCATACTTACAAAAAGTAAGCCAACAAAAATAACAGTAAACATTTAAAAATCATTTAAAAAGACAACTGTTATTCTCCCTCTAACTTTTTCCTTGTATATAAATATATATCAATCTACCTCAAGACCTATAGCACTTCTGGACATATATTCAAAGGACACTCCACCATGCCCCAAGGGCATTTGCTCAACTATGTTCATAACAGCTTTATCAGTAATAGCAGGAAACTGGAAACATTGTGGATGTCCCTCAATCAAAGAGTGGATGAAGGAAATGTGGCACATTTACACAACGATGTATTGCTCAGCTGTTAAAAACAATGACAGCATCAAATTTGCAAGCAAATGGATGCAACTAGAAAAGAATATTCTGAGTGAGGTAACCCAGACCCAGAAAGACACACATGGTATGTCCTCATATGTAAGTGGATATTAGCTGTAAGGAAAATATAAACATGCTACAATCCACAGTCCAGAAACTAAGTAACAAGGAAGGCTCAAGGTGTGAGATGTAAATCTCCCTGTGAAGGGAAATAGACTAGACATTACCAGTGTGTGGGCAGGGGCAGGTGGGGAGGTGGGTATGGGACCAGGAGGGATAAGGTAGGGGAGGCATGGAGGGAGAGAGTGCTAGGAAAGGTGACTGAAACCAGGGGGCATCTCTGGGACCAGCTGGAAACCTGGTGCAGTAGAAACCCCCAGGAATCCACAAGGGTAAACTCCTAGCAGTGGAGGATATGAAGCCTGAACTGTCTACCTCCAGTAACCAGGCAAGACTTCCAGTGGAGGAATTGGAGAAAATTCCTTAGCCACAAAGCCATTGACCTACAATTTGTCCTGCCTAGAAGATATGCTGTGATAAAGGTGGCACAGAAATTGTGGGAGTGGCCAACCAATGGCTCCTCCAGCTTGAGACCCATGCCATGAAAGGGACCCAACCTCAACACTGCCTGGAGAGCCAGGACCCAGAGGGTGGATAGCCCAGAGACCTGGGACAGAAAATGATTCCTAAGGAAACACATTCTTAATATGCTGCGGTAAAAATCATAATCCACTCTGAGGAGCACTTGGGAATATAGGAAAGGGATACTTATCCTCAGACCAGAAATTTCCACTTGTAGAGAATTTCTCATGGGGTCATGATACAAACACCAGAATGTTCATGGGCAGCATTATTTATTTCCTCCTCCAAATGGGAACAACTCAAACTCCAATATCAATATTTTAAATTACTAGACCGTATGAGGTGTCAATAAAATGGAGAATGGAATAAAAGCTCTCCACAAGTTGATCAAGCTCATCATGACTAAAATTTTGATCCAGCAAACTGCCATGAGTGTTCTCCTGTATATATGGAGGAGTATGTGTAGGCAGGCTATCCTATACATGTGGGAAGTTTTGCAGCTTACTCAGCCTCTGCCCAACTAAATATCTGTAGTACCACCTCCTTCTGTGAGAACCACGGGTGGGGAAGAGGGAGGGTGGGATTGGGAGGGAAGAAGGGAGGGAGGTACAGGGGGGATACGAAGTGAATAAACTGTAATGAATAAAAATAAAAATAATTAAATAAAAAAGAAAGTAGAACACTGATAACCTAGGACTAGAATCTGGAAAGACTACTGATGGAAAGTAGCTATATGATTCTTCCTGGTATGGTTTTCCAAAAACAGATTGCAGCAATGGTTGAAAACTTCTTGTTTACAGGCCTGGAGAGATGGCTCAGAGGTTAAAAACACTTGCTGTTCTTCCAAAGGTCCTAAGTTCAATTCCCAGCAACCTGTTGGCTTATAACCATCTAAAGTGGGATCTGGTGTGCAGGAAGAATGCTGTATAAGTAATAAACAAATAGATCTTTTTTTAAAAAAAACTTACTGTTTACACCAAAATCAGGTAAGGTTGGTCACATAAACTATACCACAATATAGTTGCTTTCATAAAAAGAAAGCATAGACATTCACAAGACGCCAGTAAATTCTGCAGGAAAAGATGTGGTTTACAGAAACTCCAGAGAAGCAGTGCTCCAGAACAGAGTTTAATAGAACATAAGGTAACTTAGGCTGGACAAGAAAATGATATCCTGTCAGAAGATGCTTAGTGCAGATTAGAACCATAGTCCAAGATAACAGATAACGTCAAATTTCCATCCTGTCTTTTTCTGTGTCCTGTGCTGATGAGCTGGGGTATTTTGTTGTCTGTTTTTGTTTGTTGTAATTGTTAGAACATGCTAACATTAACTTTTCCATTATAAATAATTCTTTTTTTAATTGAAAATAGGCTTTCTCATGGAATATATTTGAACTATGGTTTCCTATCTCCCTACTCCCCCCATTCAACTCCTCCATTCATATTCATTTCCTTTCTGTTTCTACTTAGAGAAAAAAACAGGCATCTAAAGAATAATAATGAAATAAAACAAAAATAAAGTAAAATAAAAATCACACAAGCTGGCATAGAAAAAAAAAAAACAAACAGAAGAAAAAAAGCCAAAGAAAAGCCACAAGAAACACATATAAACTCAGAGACACACTTTCACACACACACAAATCCCATACAAACACAAAACCAGAAGCCATAACACACAAAGGACCTGTAAGGTTAAAAAATGCTCTCGTAAAACTTTGTGAGACAATGAAGTTCCAGAGATGTTTTTGAGTTCGGTTTGTATTGGCCATCTACAACTGGACATGGGTTCTACCCTTCAGTAAGAAGCTTCCCAGTAAGAAACGAATTTTTCCTCCACAAATGGCTACCAATAAGATACCTTCTGTGTCAGGGATGGAGGTATGTGCCCACTTGTCTCAGTTCTAGGACCCATGCAGGCCTTGTGTATGCTGCCTCGGTCTCTGTGAGCTCATATGAGCTTTGCTCAGTTAATTTAGGTGGCCTTGTTCTCCTGGTGTCCTCTATCCTCTCTGGCTCTTACGTGCTTTCTGGCTGCCTCTTCAACAGTATTCCCTGAGCACAGGGGGAATGAAGACATCTTTTGGGCTCAGTGTTTGAAGATCTCTCATTCTTTGCATATTGCCTGGTAATATGGGTCTTGTGTATGCTCCCATCTGCTACAGGAGGAAATTTCTCTGAAGATGGCAGAGCAAAGCATGAATCTATGAGTCTAGTAGAATGTAATTAGGCATCATTTTATTGCTAAGTCCCCTTGGAGGAACAGTAGCGTTTGGTTTTCCCCTGCTATTTATGGTCTGTAAGTCTCAAGTTCTTGGTGACCAAGCAGGGTTGGGTATGAGTTTCATCTCACGGAGTGCACCTTAAACCAAACCAGATATTGGTTGGTCATTTCTGCAAGTTTTGTGCCACTATTGCGCACCATTGTCTTGCAGTCAGGTCATTGTTGTCTGTTGAAGGTTTTGTAGCTGGTATTTGCTTTTGGGTTTTGCCTTTCTCTCGTGGTAGCATGAAGAATACTGTATTCTATAGGTGTGAAAACTAGGTAGGCACCAGCTCAAGTTTTCCATGTCCATTGGGCTGTGTCGGTGTTATCTTCACAACAGGGCCCCTTTGTCAGATTGCGGAGACTAGCTGTATGTCAATTTGAAAAAAAGCTAAAGGAATTATGGGAGAGAGAACCTCAGCTGAGAAAATCACTGCAATAGATCAGCTTGTGGGAAAGCAGGAGGT